GTAACTTAGAAATTAAAAGTTCTAGAATTAATAGCAATTAATATCATCGAGGGTGTGGGAATTTTTTTGTACATAACAGACGAAATTAAACCATTGACCTCGACAATCCTGTCTGATTTCAAACCCGATTTCAAGCTCGACGATAACAAAGGTCAGGATTTGCCCTCGTCAAAATAAAGATCGACACTTTACCTATTATTCTCTCGATATCGCGATCAAAGTCGGCGAGGCTCGTCGTCGCGACGATATTCACGCGTTTCTCGCTCGCGTCGAGACAGCTATCGATAAACAGACCGCTTTTTCGCTCGGTCCACGTCAACCCAGAGCTCTAAATATATCGATGCATCGCTCGTCGATTGTTAAAGACGTCCTCGAGTTGTCCGAATCGCGACTTCGCGGCAGCAAGTATAAAGGAAAAAAGATGCGTTGCAGGATTGTTGAAGCATCGCGTAATGTCTAAGTTGGGCCAGTGCGGTGCTCTCGCGTTCTCGTGTCGTGTTTTGTCGCAACCGTTTCGGGACCACGTCCAATTTCCAAATTAGAACAGCCCGGCCTGTCGTCGCGGCACTTCGACACGCGTATCAGTTCGATATCAGTTTTCTGGAAATTCTCGTGTTGAATCTCTGCCGAGTTATTGCAGCTTCTTGCCCTGCGATTTCTTTCGTGCTTATCGTGTCGAATGACGTACCGACGACTGAACTGAAATCAAATTTGCATCAGTTATATATAGTAAAGAAAACAGAGAATATCTTTATAATGCGATTTTTTATTTTGTATATTTCACGAAGAATCGTTCGAGTCTCTAGAAATACATTGTATCTATAAAATTTCTAAACAGAAATTATCAATTGGTCATTTTGACCATTTTTGTAGTTCTAGTGTCAAGTTGCATTTTCTATATATATATATATATTTTTTTTTTATGAGGAAAGGTATTTTATTGGATATTAATGAAGAACTTTCTATCTCGTGGCTTCTTTTTATCTAATCCAAGTGAGAGCTGGCTGTCCAATAACGTAACGTCGTGTTAAACGTGATAAATCGCATTTTACGAGAAGGAAGTAAAATTATTTTATCTCCACAAAAGGAAGATCGGTAATGAACGTTAAATCGAATTAAAAATCGCGAGACCAAGCAATGTGAATCCATGATGACATTAACGTAATTATTCTCTTTAAAAGTCCAAAAACTTCGTGCAACAAACGTTGCCTTTTCCATGCTCGAAACGAGGGAACCAGCACGTTTTAGACGATTTCGTCACGTTGTCTGCACGGTGCACCGGGATCACGGAGCGGTTGCAACGGGGAACCGATTCTAATGCGGGCCGGTTCTCGCATGGGCGACGACGTGCTTTCACTCTCGAGCGAGCGTCGATTATTATGCAACCGGAGTCGCGGCCATTATTTCAGGCTCGCTTATGAACGACATCCTCCAAGGTTAATCGAGTCAATCGTTCGCCTCGATGCCAGTTACTCGTGTCTGATAAAGGATTAAGTGTCGCTTAAACGGGCCTCGGGAACACCGGTTACGGTTGTTGCGCCGATGCGAAGCACGTGTCGCGACAGACGTTGTTTCAGCTACCGTTCGTTTATTGGTACGTTGATGGAGGACGAGATAACAGAAATCGAGATTTATACGTTATCTGTACCCTCGCGAAATAATGGAAGTTAAGGCGTTATTTCATTTGCAATTCTTCTGCAACGTTGATTAGCCAAAAAATGCATCCTCCATTTTCTTCTGTACTTTCGATTCTATTGAAAAAGTTTTGATGATTAATACTAGCAATATAATATATTATCGTGGTACGTGTGATCCTTAATATTGACAATACGAGTAGATTGATTAATCTCTAAGAGGAAATGCGAACAGCCACTTATTTATTCGTTCATTTATTATTCTATGGCGTGAAATTTATAAAAAGTAAATTAAGAAATTTACAAAACAAGAATACGTAAAATACAGATATAATTATAAAGGTTTTATTCTCATATATAATTAAGTATAACAAAAGGTACGAGTTCTTATAACTGTTGTTATATAACATAATAATATGCATGTACGTGCATATACATCCATACGGACATATATTACATGTGTACATAAACTTGTTGATCCTCACTTAATTCGAATCATCGTAAGAACACGAGGGAACGAGAAAAATCGAGTATTATATATCACTTACAGATGGACGTGCGGTTTGAGCGGGCATAATTAGTGCCGTAGCACCTGTGGCAACTCGCGCGGAATATTTCAGTCGACATGATTTGCGTAAAGCGACCGCAAATACGGATATTTCGGTGGGTTGACTCATCCAGCTGCGTAATTCTATTTAAAACCGCCGAACGTCGCGCATGTATCGGATCCGGTATTTACCTTAGTCTCCCGATAATTTCCTCGAGATTTAAACCGTCTCACGCTGCCAAGACTCGCTCTTCGTGTCATTAAATATTGTCTCGGGATGCCTTCTGCCGCTGTGTGTTACCTCTACTTTCACCCGGGAGACTCATCGCGTATGTACAACGTCGTAACAACACATCAACAGTCGTGTATTTAAAATTTCTCGCCGGACATCTATTTTTAAAGCGAGCACGAAATCAACTGAGAGTAATCCAAAATCTTGCTAAACTACTAGATCCTACGTCGAAATTGAGCGTTTTCAGTTTTGTCGGTAACTGTGGACGAAACGCAACATTTCTCACTTGAATGTTCATCAGTGGGAGATGTCATCACACATATCGCCTTTACTGTTTTATTTGAAAGTAGATGCTCAATTTTGCAAACAAAACTCTACTAAATAATAGCGGGACACCGAATCTATCACCGAGCCGTGAAAAATTCATCCAATGATCGGTAAATTTTAATTGCCTCTTCGTTCAACCTGTTCCCCTTTAACAAGCCAATCAAAGTTCCTCGATTCGAAGTCCGCGTGAAGTACGTTACACGCGAGAGGAAAAACGCAAAGAGCACGCTTGGTGCTCGACTTCGTGTTGATACACCCTACATCACGCGGAACTTTCCTCGGAACGTTTCACTCGTAAATTGACAGAGTTAACAAGCCAGACACTGTAAAGACACCGGCGCACGGCGGTGTTGTGTGCGTACGTTTTATCTCGTTTCATGGAAACGTGGCAATAAGGAAGCGCGAGATTTCACAAACCATAGAAAAAACGACGGGCAGGTGACTCACTTTAGACACATTAGACACACGCCAACTAACCATCGAGAAATTCGTAAGCGTGGATCGCGATCGACGTGACGGGCTGTCGTTTCTCCACGAAGGATTTAAAGGTCGCTGGCTTCCTCGCCGATATTCTTCCTCTTCGTTGACCCACGCGTAGCAAGAACAAGAGATTCCCGCTTACTTACTTGAAACTGGAATATTGTTGTATTTCTCCTACGGAGTCCGATTCTAATTTATCGCGTTTCGTGCCGAATGTCAGAGTCCTCGTAGCAGTTGAAATTTTAAGAGTTTGGCAAGTTTGGATCTCTCTGTGTGTGTGCGATAGATAGATCTTGTAACATCAGTATATATATATTATATAAAAACATATTTATGAATTTGTACATGTATCCACAACAGAAAATCACTATTATTATATATATTATTATTATATTATATTTTATATATATAATATATTAATAATATTATATATATATATATATATATAT